CTGAGTCCCTACCAACAAACAGGCACCAGAGAGCTGAAGCCCACATCCAGTACACCTGGTTGGCCTAATCAGCTTGACTGGTGGAGCTGAAAAGGCAATGCCAGCTGACAGGGCACTCAGGTTTCTGGAAGGAAGCAGCAGCTACTGGGTTTTTTTCTTTGTAGTCTTTGAGGAAGAGGGTATCTCCATAAGTCTGACTCCTTGGCAAACGAGTTCTGTTCAAGGAAGAAGATTTAAAAGTTGGTAAAAGGTAAGCAATAAAGAAATGTACTATGGTGGCAGTTCCTGTTGGCCTCCTAGCATGTGATGTTTTGAGAAGCTGCTATTTACATGGGCTACTTGTTTGCAGAATATCTCTGTAATATATGGAGGATAATTATTCTGCTCTACTTGGTGCTTGATGAATCCTCCAGCTGAAGTATTCTCTGGTAATGAACTTTAAAGTACACAAACTGGAGAGATTCCAGAGGATTGCAAGAAGACCAAGAGAGTTAATCAATAGTAAAGGCTGAATAGCTATCCTTATCCCCATTAAAGAGAGATGGCTAGGAGCAGGGAATGCAGGTATCTCACACTGCTCTTAGAGAGCTGTGACTAAGACAGGAATGTATTCATTGCACAGACTGAAGACTTACATTAGACACTAGGAAATCCTGACTTGAAAGAATAAGCACTTGGGTGGGAGATCTAAAAAAAAAAAACTGCATTTCTGCTGTTGGTGAGTTCTGAATGCATTAGGTGAAAATCTGCCATATTAGGTGAATCATCTATTTATCATTAATCTTACTTCAAATGCACAAGAATAATCCTGAGGCTTCTCTCAGCTCTGTACTCCTGTATAGTCTGAAGCTTAACATATTTGATGTTGATACCTGCCTAACACAGTCTTTAACAGCCCTTAAAAATCTGCTCTATAATAATCACCTTAAAGATACTCTATGTAAATAACTTGGATGCAGATTCTCAGTTTAAGTAAAAGACCTTGTCTAAAAAACCTGCACTGCTAGGTGTGTTGACAAAACTGAAGGAAAACTGCTTATGAACCCAAAAGCTCCCTTAACAGGCTGTCTTCTCATACTCCCAGTCTGTAACCTGAGGTCCTCCTCTACTGAGGAGAGACTAAATAAAGCAGTCAGTACCATGGTCTGCTACTGCTCTCACAAACTGGGCTCCAGAGTCTGAGGGATGGAAATAAGGTTGGGTGACCTTTATTTCTTTAAAGAGAAATTTAATTTAATGGTGAGCTATTCTGAAGCTCCAAATTCCTATTACCCTTCCTAAATGTGAAATAAGATTCTCAGAATAACACAAAGCAAAGGGCTTTGCAAAGGGCTTAAGAGAGCTGGCAGCTCTACCCAACTGCCACTTCTGTACTGAAAAGGTGGCGTGTTGCCATGTAAGATAAAATCTGCTTGCCCCACAGGAAGATGTTTTGTCACCCTAAAACTCAAAAATATTAATGTTAAAGCAAGCATTGTAACATAGTGGTATAACCTTTGTAAGCATACTGTGTTAAGAGGTCAGTCTAAAGGATTAAATCTTTTGTATAACTATCCAAAGTCAAGAATTCCTATGTTTGAGCAACAGTCTTTACTCCTCAGTAAACCAAATTACTATTTATGACCTATTTTGGCCTTATTCATAATTAAACACATAGGCATTCAATAATATTAGGCAACGGGCCTGAAACTGCAGCAAACTGCTTTTCCCAAAGCACAAAATGAAACTGTGAAACTGATTGCCACAGGCCTTTCTGCAGACCAAGCCTACTTGATGTCAAAAAATGCCAGGTGAACTAGGTGAGTGGGATTTAAGGATGGTTATTCAGCACCGTGGTTCTGAATAAAGCCTGTCTCAGGATGTTTCCAAGTCATGCATGCTCTAGGATATGATACTGAGGAAGAGGGTACTTTGTACATGCTGTCACAGATTCCTCCCTAAATCAAAAGCATTGGCCTTTGCTCCTCAAAATTATGTACCTCTGCTTTGGTAATATGCCACCAAAGTTTTAAGCATGCTTTACATTGGGCCAGGTCTCTGGACTAACCCTCAGTCATTGGCTTCTAAAGTCTGTGCCCTGTATTTTTTTTTTTTTTCCCCCTCTCTCAAATATTCACCCTGAATTCTAAGCCAATCATCCAAAAGCCACCACTCAAAGCTGTCTAGTATACTCTATTAGGCTATGAAACAGGTTTAAAAATATATTTTTATTCATCCTTTTAGTATTCTGTGTCAGAGACTCTCTAACAAAATATTTTGTGCCAAAGTCCTATATAAAACTAGATTTTAGCTTATAAAGCACACTTCAATTCACCTCTAAAGAACTCAGGAAAAGATTGGGGCTTTTCTAGAATCAAGAATCCCAAACTTAGGACCTTATTTACAGACAGTAGTATTTAAGAAAAAAGTTCAAATAAATTTCTTGTCTACTGTTCAGGTATTTAATTTCAAGGAAATAAAATTCCATGGATTTTTATCACAGTAAAGGTGGTATTTATGACTTTTTTTTTTTTTAGTAAAAGCAGTCATTTTTCCTTCAGCAAACATACTACTTGAACTTTCTGCTCTGAATAAGTACAAAAAAAAAATTAGATCCATTTCTGTTGAATATCAATTTGATCAGCTCTGGGTGTATACACAGAAGGTGCAGCAGACAAGCTCCACAGCCCCATCTGTTGGCTAATTAGGTTCTCAAGAAAACCATCTACCAGCCTGTAGCAAACCATGCTCTAGTGAAGCCAGGTCATTTCTTCTGATAAAATTCCAAGTTTTACAATCACAAATCTATAAGATCTGTGCATCAGTAGCAACCTTTGCTACCTAAGCATGTAATAACTGAGGTTTCTAATACAGTTGCATGATTATTAAGTTATTTTAAATTTTATTTGAGCAAGTTTGAGATTGATTTGCTTGCATTTTCATTCACAGATAAATGGTCTATACTGAAATTGCAGTGTTTAAGAGGTGTCCCTTGATTAATAAGTCCAAGATAAAGACACCTGCTTCTAAAGCCAAGGGCCTGAATGTAAATATTTTTGAAGGCACTTACTGTAGTTTATAAGAGACAAATGTTTCTAGCTCCCACTGACTTATAGGGACTCGGACAGATCTTGACCATATGAAACAGATTAAATATGTTAAATCATCAGTAGATAGTTCCATGTACTGCCAAGGGAGGGGGGGGAGGGAGGGATAAGTCTGATTGAAAACATGCACTTTAGGTAGGAAGGACATGACCTCGGAGTAAACTGCAGTTTTATTAACAAGTGCAAATTAAATAGCACTCAAGATTTGAAAAAAAAAAAAGTTTAGAAGTAGTCTAGAACTTGACACATGCCTATTTGTTCCCCTAAGTTAGGCTGCATGCTTGGTCAGTCAAAATCTAGTCCCACACCCCCAGACAAAGACAACTGCTACTAGTATCATCCACCTGAGGATAAGCAAGTAAGCTGTCATCCAAACTCTAATGGCAAGTCAACTGTCAAGATCCCACTGAAATCTGGGTATCCAACTAAAGTTTGAGGCTAACTGCTGTCTTTTGAGATATATTTTAAAGAAACTGAAGTAGTAAAGAATCTTAGTAATGCAGGATCATCTGACTCCACTATGCTGTTTTAAGTCAAAAAAAAAAAAAGAACCCCAAACCTTTCCTTTCAAAGGACAAAATTCTACTCCTGTTTAGGCCACAATGATAATGTGCCATCTATAGGAACTCTAAAAAGACATTGGCTGCTTGGCAGTTTTTCTCCTCCACAGCTATCTATGCTACTATTCAAAACTCCATAAAAAAGATGGACTCCCAATGTCTTCTCTACAAATCTTCAGGTCTCTTCTGTTCAGTGAAAAACTTCTTGTGCAAGAAGAGCTACAAGGTTAGTGCCGTTTATGCTGGAAACAATTAGTGTATCCTAGATGAGGGGGAAAATGGCTATGGAGCTGAGATCTTTGGGGCTTGGCAGCAGGGAAGCAAAGAGGAAGAGAGCTCTTGCGTGTGTAGGTCGCAAGCTGAAAAAGCCACAACCAGAACAGATGAAATTAAATGTGTAAGGAAGGCTGGAAAGGGAAGTCATGACAGCTGACAGACCATGTAGTGTTCCACTTCTCGCATCCTGTCTTTGACAAACAATTTAAATAGCCTGTAGACCCACATCATACTGATGTGCAGGAAAGCAATATAAATCTAAGTGACAATATGGCAGATGGACTTCACTGTCAAAGTCATTATTCAAAATAACTTAAGGCTATTGAATTCTACTCCCTGTTATGGTGCAAATATATCCAGGAGATGTCAAACAGAATAGCCTTTTAGCATGGAGAAAGGGATAGTATTGCCCTTTTAACTCCCTGCTCATGGTGCTCAGAGCCAACAACTGCTGAAACCATTGTTAGAACAGAGTGTAACTAGCAATATCATGGAGTCTGTTCCATGTTGCTTTAGTAGCAAGGTGTGGCCTTGGGGGAGTGGTGAGGAATCAGGATCTTACAACTCACATTTTAGGAGTACTGCAGAGGTAAGAAAGTAGATCAGTTTCCAGATTGTTTGTTGGGAAAATACAGAATTTGTGAACATCTGTTCAAGTACAGCTTAGAATAATATTTTCCCAATTTTTCAGAGCAGTCCTTTAATTGTATATTTCCATAGTTCTATTTTTAATACACTTTGAGTGGAAAAGTCTTCTCAGCTCTCCTATGATCTACAAACTCCCACTTCAGGATTCTGAAACCTTTGTGAGGGGTGTTCCCTGCAGTGACAGGACTCTGCTCTTTTTCTCAGCACTACTGGCAGATTCTCAGAGAAAACAGCAGCACTAGCTACCAAAGAACAGCAGTAACACTAGAAGAGCAGTGATCTACCTTGACAGGGCAGAGACAAGGGTTACCATGCTTGCTCTTGATGTGTTTGAAATGCCATGGGTGTGCTTCATTCAACTCAAGTACAGAATATCCATGTTCCTTCACAACAAATTATATCACAGATCACACCAAGGTACTTAACTTACCCCTCCCATTGTAATGCCATCAATAAGTGCCACATAGGGCTTCTTGCAAGTGCCTGTAAGGAATATAAAAAAAAAAAAAATTTAAAAAATTGTATTTTTTTTTTTTTTCAGGAGAGTGGACCTGAGCCTGACAGTATATGTGATACATTT